AAAGTTTTTTTTTAGCGGTGTATTTCACCTGGGTTACAGAAACGAGGATTTAGAAGGCGAATCATGGTACAAACTGTTGCATCCAGCTCACCTTGAAGAGGTTGCATACAAGCATCGTCTACGTAAGCATTTTTCACTTAAAAACACAGTCATGATTGCTGAATTAATCTATTGCATCGAATGTTTTTAAAAGCAACTTTTAGTGTGTCAAGAAAAGGAAGGTTCAGTAATATGTCTACTGAGGCTGCAAACTTGCAGTGGTAGTTGGCTATGGCTGCATACTGTGTTGGCAGTTCGAGGGAATTTTTTACATCAACCACAAGATGGTAGAAGAGTCCGACATTTAATATATGCAACTTATCAACTTCTGAGGTTTGTTATAACAAGTATTAAATTGTAAGGGTTATATCAAAAACGAATTTTTTGATTTACATATGTTCTTTTTCAATTTTGTATTGTACACTGAAATGTATAAAACATAGTCTACGAACACTTTTTGGTTTAGAAAAGGCTTTTTTTGTTAGAAGTGTTCTAGTGTTTGACTGTAAGTGGTAACAGAATTATGTAATCTGTTGTTGTTTTTGATTGTCGAACAGTAGAGGTGAAGAGGGTAACTTACTTGCCAGGTAAAATCTATGTTTACAGCGATATGGAAGTGGCCACTTTGCAAGCCAATTCATGGATATATACCATTAGGCATACGTATCCACCTGAATTCTCTTGTAAAGATACGGATATAAGCTGTTCATTTCCGACAATAGAACGACCTCTCTCGAGTGCCTCTCCAGTTTCGCCAATTGTGCAAATCAAAAACGAACCATTCATTCAGAGAGAAACGGAGCCACAAAATTTTCTCTGCGACCAAGTAAGAGAAAAGAAAATATTTTTTATCTGGTGGTGATCCAAATACTTTTTTGCTGTAACAGAACATTTACAGGTTTAACAACAAGCTCATGTTGGTAAACTACAACAAAAGTTTTTTCTTTTGGAGAATTTAAAAAATTACATATTAATAGAAAATACGAGAAATGAAGCTTTTAGATTCGAGTAGAAATTCCGTCTAAGATACGTAAAGAAAGTACTCCAGCAAATTCATTTGTTAATTCAGAGAATTCGTCACCAGAATCTAGCCGTTCGATACCCACAGGTTATATTTTTATTTAAGTTCTTTTATCTCAAGTAGGACTCTTTATACAATCAAAAAAATTTTTTTGATTGTTGTCACATTAGCTGGCTTTTCGCTAAAGCTCTTTCTTTCCAGTTACAAGTCGTAGTTGTCATTTCGATGAACCTCCGGAAATTTGTTTGGAAGGTGCATCAAGAGCACCACTACCTGAGCTTCGTGATGATTTGGATGAATTTTTTCGCGAAGTAGAATATTCACCAGCCTGTGATCTGAACGATCTACCAAAAGATCTTTTGCTGATGAACACAAGCAGTGTTCTACACAAAGATGCACAACATTCTGTATTGCACCATCATTCGTCGACAACGTCACTTAGTTCGATGTTAAATACACCGTTTGACAAGGTTCCTTCATCTGTTACACCAGGTATGACCAAACTGTTTCCGAACGATCTCACCAACAGTACTGCACCGATTTGTGGTGTTTATGACAATTTGGGTCACGATAAAATGACAACATTATCAGATGATAACGGTTTAATTGTCAAAGATGAATGGTATACAAATTCTGGTGGCTATCAAGTTACATCAAATACCGGCGTTGTTGATTCCAGTCTTCTGACATGTCGCAGGAGTCGGAAACGACTTGCCAGTTGTGCAGTCTACGATCTTTGTGTACAGTCAACTCATTAGTTTTTCGATTTTGTCTATTACGACTCATAGATTATTTCTGAATTTTTTTTTTTGTTTTTGTTTTCGTTTTTCTTTTTTTTATTTTTCTCGAGATTTTTATAATACTATTGTTGCTTAAAAGCTACATAATCTTTTCTCTTTCTTACGGAACAAATTCTCGAATAAGAAGAAAGAAGAGAAAAAGGAGAAGAAAAAAGTTACAATGGAATGAGGAAATTTTAAGTAAACAAAAAAAAGGGAAAAGGAAAACGAAAAAAAAAAAGGATATAACGGTATTTCTTCGGTGAAAATCTATATATGTGATACAGCGTTTTTTTTTTTTTT